AAGCCCCATGACCTCTTTCAGTGAAAGTCTTGGCCGCTCTGATGGTGTTTGCACAGTAGACAAACAAAGAACATCTTCTTAAAAAGCAAAGCCAGTTGGCAGGAAATCAAACGCTGAATCAACGCGTCGGGAATCAGCCAGGCAGCTCTGAACGTCACGGGAGCGTGGTGGTGGTGACCGAGGGCTGCAGCTGAGGCTCTTCGTCAGTTCAGGCTGGAGAGAGAACATGAATTGAGGGGTTGAAGTTGCAAATTTGGGCTGTGTTAAAGCTGTAGATATTCACGTGGGGGTCCAAGGCAGCTGTGTACACCAGTGGCAGCCCATGAGGCTATGTGTCCTTACAGTGATGGAGGACAAAGAGTAGCAAAAGAATTTTCAAGTTGCTTTTTTATAGGCCAAGTGGAAAATTGTCCAGGTTTCTCAGCAAAACATTTTTTCTTCTTTTTTGTAGGAGTATTCCCCTTAAGTCCTGGTTGAGCCTTAGCAGTAGGATCAGCCTTTCCCATTTGCTCCATTTATTGCACGCTAGTAAATTTATTTCAAACATTTCATTTTAAAAAGAATTCTCTTATTAAAGTTGAACGTGGAAAGTGTAAAAGCAGGTTTGCTTGCAGGAACATATGGATGTGTGTATGTGTGTGGGCAGGACATCCTCATTGTGTATCTGTACCTGTCATTGGGCTTTCTGAGCCTCTTCCTGCATCTGTACGAGCCATGTCAACATCTTGAAAGTGATATTTGTTCTTTTGTGATTTCAGAAATGCAGTGAAAGACACAGAACCAAACCAAATAAGATTAAAAGCTTTAAAGGCTTAATAAACAAAGAAGAGCAAATCTAGCTGATAACGTGGCCTTGATGGTCAGCTATAAAGGACAGGGAGTTAATGGATTACAGGTAACTCTGGTCATCACCACCCGTCTTCCTTAGCAGTATGGAGACACAAGGGGAGGAGGTTGAAGTCTCCAGCTCATCATCATGACAGGAGCAAGAAAAAACAAAAATGAGGGGACAGAAAAGAATTGGGGGACCAGAATTTAAACAAACAGCCCCCAGCCCATGTTGAATCAGCTCAGAGTGTCCTGCTGGCATCAACAACTGGCAGTGACACTGTCCTGTCAAAGCCATCAGAAACACAACTGGAATGGTTTGAACCTTCCAACAAGAAACTGTTCCACGTTTTGAGATGTTTTCTAAGACCACTTTCCTGTTCTGCAATGGGCTTCACCAGGCAATGCTCCTCTCCAGCTCAGGTCCAGCTTTCCTCTCTGCTGAAGTTTTAATGGTGTAAAGACCTTGAGCATGTCCTGTCGTGCTGGCTCACAAAGCTCACTGTGTGTGAGCTATGTGATAGGACTCTCTATAAACTGCAGAACATCTTCTCCACCTTTCTTATCTTTCCCAGCCATATAAATGAACAATAGCCCAACAGAGAGCTTTGGGTTGTTTTGTTTGCTGGGCTAACAATTGCTTCACATGGTTATTTGCTATTTCACTTTCACACAGATCAGCAGAAACATGGTTTATTTCAGGAAAGAAAAGTCTGCCACAACTATTCTGATTTTAGTACTGCAACAAATCATTTAACTTAAAGAATGAAAGGTAAAAATGTTCTATGGGCTAGAGAAGAAAAAGGAGCAGAAGGATTCCTGGTTTTAATAACAATAGTCATAAAGAAGAAAAATTTGTCCTCCCTGATGGAAAGGTCCTGTCAGCTTTGAATGTGTTGAAACCTGTGCCACAATCTGTGAAATTTCTCTTTATAGCCAATATCTCTAGAATATAATAGGCTTTCTCAATAGAATAGCGTGAATCATCGTAAAGAATGCTACAGCAAGGATATTACTCTGCAGAAACTTGGCAGCAGCAGAGAAAGATGGCATTTCCCCCGCTCAACAAGAGAGATCCAAGAGAGGTTCAGTACGAGGGTGCAGATACCTCAGTACCCATAGGCAGGAGCAAACCCTGACCCTGCTATTTCTGAGCCAGGCTGAAGGAACCAGGACTGAAGGTTCCCACGACGTTATTCACGTGACAACCTCAAATCAAGGCCAGCTTAGCACAAACATCAGCCCTATTTACCTGCAAATCTCCGCAGCATTTAGTGGGTGAGCTTTGCACACAGACCTGTAGTGTAATGAGTGCACTGGTTGTTTATCTATTAGTTTTTAGCAAATACTTCCTTAATTACACTAGGTTCCTGGGGGAACAGGGACAAACCCAGGGTAACTTCAGGCTCTGTTTCTGGTGACTGGTTTGCAGCACAGACTCACTACCTGCGTGTCAGTAATACAGTGTTAGAGTTTCATCAGGAGCAGTTCCACTTGTCATCAACCCACACCTTACAGAAAATTGCTTTTATTTTTCTAAATGAGGTAACAGTTTGCCTGAGCTCACACATCACACAAAGGAGGACAGACCCAGCTCCTGCTGCCAAGGACACAAAACCATTAGAAAATGCAGAGAAAGTGGCAAAGGAATGTAAATCAGGATAGAAACAATCCAGAGACAAGGGCACTTGCAGTAAGGAAAAGGGAAGTGTGATATGAAACTAACTTCTGGGATCATGGGGAAAAATCCAGTGTGGCCAGGGACCGGAGACCTCTCTAGGAGTTGAGTTCAGATGCCCCAATCAGAAGTCAATATAAATTGTCAGGTCCATCTCCAGGACAGTTGAGTACCTCTCACTTCACAGACCAATATCTTCCCTAGTCCAAACAAGCCAGAAAACATCAGAAAGCTGTGGAAGGACAAGCTTCCCCCTTTTTAAACAACCCTAATGGCAAGTGTTCTTTTGTGAGGAGAAAACACTTTTCCAGACATGGAATCCTGGCTGGGAAAAACTCATGGCAGAAAGCATGGGTGGGAAGGACCTATCTTTATCCCCTTTTCTGGTCCTGAAGGCAAGAGGTGAAGCTGAGCAGGGCGTTATCTCTGGGAACACACCCCCATTGTGTCCCCTCGGTTAATTGATGCACCGCGGCGCTGGCTCTGGTGGCACACACTCCCGTGTTAATGTCACGCACAAAGCCAATTAAATGCCTGATTGGATGAAGTGGTCACAGTCAAGTGACCCATTGCCAACCAGTCAGGATTCAAGATTTCCAAATATCGTTAAGGTATGTGCCTTAATCCCTTCCTAAAAGATTAAGCATTTAACCTATTACTGCTGTTTCTGATGAGATACAGTAAATCTGCTGTGCTTGGAGGGGAGAGAGGGCTGAGCAGTGAAATGAGCAGCATTTGTCCTGTTCCAGCCCTGCAGCACATCTCACAGCATCTTCCAGGCAGTTCACGTTGATCCTTCAAAGGGTTGACTAATTATTTTCCAGAAGAGACAGTTTTGGAGGCTGCCTCCATTCCCTCCCCACTCTCCCTGTGCCCCTTTGCCAGTGAAGAGAGATGTCAGAGAAGGAAACTTGCTTATCACCACGCTGATTGATGTTCCTCAGCCAGGGCTGCTATAGATTTCTTTGAAATACAGATTTTTGTTGAACTTCCAAGGTAGTGTTGAGAATTGCAAAACCTTCCTAGCTCCGAAGAGGTGTGAAGGTGATTTTCCCACTGATGCAGGAAGAAGGAAGAATAATGGTCATTTGACAGATGTGGCTTCCCTCAACGTGTGGCTTGACTGGTACCTGCAACCACTCACATCTTTAGATGCTTTAAGCCATTACAGATGTTCCAGTGCTTGGTCCTCAGTTTCCATTTAAAAGCCAAGCCAGGAAAAGATGTCACACAGTGGACTAGGAGCATGTTAATGATCCTGGTTAATGTCTAATTAGTAATTAAATTTACATTGACTATCAATGGTAAATTTTAATCATTTATTTAGGTGAAAAGAAATGTGAAATGTCATCATGCAATCCCAGCATTTCAACAAAAATATTTAAACACACTATGAAATTTTACCCTGACAGGGAAATCTCCTGCTGTGCTTTAGCAGGGAAGTGTGTTAATGAAGACAAGCAAAGAGAAAATGGAATCATAGGATCATTTGGGTTGGAAGGGACCTTAAAGCTCATCCAGTTCCAACCCCCCTGCCATCAGCAGGGACACTTTCCACTAGACCAGGTTGCTCAAAGCCTCATCCAGCTGGCCTTAATCTCTCTGTGTAAGGCTGGCCACTAGGGTAAAAAACCTGCAGGAACCCTTTTGCCCCCTCCATGCACTGTTTCACCTACAGACATAATATTTAAAGGCTGTGGAGATGTGAAGGAGAACAAACAATTGTGTGTTTACTGTGTTTTTTCAGCTGCACATGTAACACGACCGTTCGGATCCAGGTTACCTGTTGTTGCCTGATCCACAGATGATGGCTACAGATGAAAAGCACATCTTTATGCAAATATGATTTGAAAAGCAGACCCAGCACTTCAACAGTAATGGAGTTTTATTTCTAGAACATAGTACGAGCCTTGACCCATGTTATTAGTGCAAGAGAGGAACACAACCTGTCCTCCTAGAAAACCGATGTGTTTGCAGAATTTCTTTGCTGGGTGACAGCATTTTCTGTGGGGTTAAGGCAGAGGAGAGAGTTTCCTTCTCTCTTTCACTTTGATGGATGTGTGCTGGAGAGCAGAAACATGAGAGGTGTCAGGAGTGATGGAGTGATGCTGAAAGCTCTGACAAATGAGCTCTTGAAAGTCCTGCTGCAGCAATTTAAGATGTTACTGTGCCACTGCTCACCTCTGTCCTCTGCCAGGTCCACCTCCCCATTGCAAAGTGCACAGAAGGGCAGACACATCCCCACACAGGCACTGGAGCTCACTGGTCTGTGTTAGCTTGGCCATTAGAGGAGATGGGATGAGTACAAAGGGGAAGTGGGGCATGTAGACACACGTTCTGTCCTACTGACCTGGTTCATAGGCAGTAAATTGCTTTGGGAATGGAGTGAGATCCTCAGCTGCTGCAGTGATTTGCTCAGGGAACACGTCAAAACCTTGAGAACAAACGGCACGAGCCCAGAAGCTGTAACTGTCCTTTTCCATCTCCCTTCCAGCTTGCTGCATTAGAGAGGCAAGTGTTCGATTTCCTGGGATACCAGTGGGCCCCTATTCTTGCCAACTTCCTCCACATCATCATTGTCATCCTTGGCCTGTTTGGGACCATTCAATACAGACCTCGCTACATAGTGGTGGTAAGTAATGTTGGATTTGTTCAGAGCCATTCACAGCCTTTTGCAGCCTTTGCTCTGGTGGGGTATGGCAAGTGATGAGGAGCAGAGGAAACCCTTGAGAAACCAGGCATGAGTGTTGTAAACAATTTTAGGAGGAGGTGCTGTGCTTGGGAACACGTTGTTCAGTGTGCTGCACTTCTACAGTACTTCCAACTTGGAAGAGAGCAGATAATTATTGCTGGCACCAAAGTAACACCTGGATATTGCACAGAAGACAGGGAGAACCAGATGCTGGACAAAGGCATAGCAAAAGCTCTTCCACTCCCTCCAAACTTCTGCCCCTGTGTCTCTTAACCAGGTGAGGGACCACCTGGACATGGGAAACAAACAGAGGAGGAGGGAAAAGCTGTGGTGACTCAGGGCATTTAACTGCCCCCAGCTGCATCACATATATATAAACTAATTCCAGCTCCTTCCTAATACTCACGGCTTCTTTTCCCTTCCCCTATTCTCTTCTAGTATGCCATCTGGACTGCTATTTGGGTCACCTGGAACATCTTCATCATCTGCTTTTACTTAGAAGTGGGAGGGCTCTCAAAGGTGAGTAGGAGCTTTTATGGGTGAGTGCTGAGGCTTTGTCTCAAAGGGGATGGAGCTGAGTTGTGAGATGCAGGAGGGAATGGTTGAGGTGAGTGGCAAGGGGCTTCCTGGGAGCAGCTCCTGCCCTCTTACCTATGGAGAGGGCTGCCTTACTAGGGGATGGAGGAGTACTGCTTGTTGTATGGTAAAAATGGGAAGGTAATGCTGGTTTCTGGAGCCTTTTCCTGGTTAGTGAAGGTAGTGTCTGGAATAAATCCTGCCCTCATAGTGGGTATTTGGTTTTTGAAGGTGAGAGCAAGCCTGGCAGCAGAGCTGTCCTGAGGGGAGATGGGGTTTGAGGGTTACTTCCCAGCCATGATGCAGAAGTGGCTGAGGAAGGCTATGAGTGGTTGTTGCCACACAACAAAATATTTCCTGTTGTATCTTTCTGGGAGAGGTTCCTCTCTCTGAACAGAGAACAAACCAGAGGGATGCTGGGGAGGCTGGTGCATCTCCTCTGGATGCAGCCTCAGGGGTGACATGGCTTCCCTGTCTTAATCCTTCTTAAATACAGTGGTAGTTTTTCATGGCTTTTGGCCAGAGCTGTTGTGAGTGAATATGTGAAGCTCTTTGAAGACTAGAAAAGCTAAATATTGCTGTCTGCTTAATGAGGGGTGAGTCAGAAATAATAAAAATGGGAGGCAGGTCCTAAATTAAGCCTGGGCTGTAAGCAATGAATTACTAAGTGTTGCTGTAGCTTAGCAGCCTCAGAGCAGTTATGGGATACAGGTTCATTTCAGAGCACTCTACCACTGGCCTAAATTCTCAGGTCATACATCTAAGTTGCAGTTATAATTGGAACTGCACTACTCTTTTTTTTATTAGGACTACAGCAAGTCATGAGTGACAGCATAAATCCTTTGCAGATAAGAAAATGCAGCTTCCTAATTCCTCAATTAATCTCCGTTTCCCCTCTCAATTATGCACAGAAATTTTGAGAGAGTTCTTGCCCAAAACAATGATTACTCATGGTCTGAAAGCTCAGCCTGAGATGATCTTGGTGTTGGCTGTGACCAACTAAAAAAAAAGAATTTTATGTAACTTATTTAAATGCTTCCTTCTGTGGAGGAAATATTGGCTTGATAAACTGCTCTGGGAGCTCCTCTGACAGCCAGGGTTTGCTTCCAGCTGATTACTTGTGTTTACTAATCCTGCCCTGCAACATGTTGGGCTGTTCTTTTGCCATTCAAACAGCATCAAACTCGACTTTGTCTGCTGTGGAGGAGTTTTATCTCGTAACCTTGCTCTGTGCTGTGGCTTGTTTTAGCAAAGCCAGCACATGGAGAACCTCTGTTTAGCATACAGGGTGACATTTGTGATTGAAGACTTTTTTTTTTTTTTTAATAGAATTGGGCTGCAGTGTAAGTTTTTATCAATTCAGTGCACTTCCCTCTAGAGCTGCAATGAGAAATTCATGGTGTTAATTTGGTAGCAACTGGCAAAAACAACAGAGTATTTGTGCTTGTTTGGCAGTAAAATGCTTTACAGCTTTGGCTGTGTTTTTTAATGAGTTACTTTCTTACAAGAGAGTCTTTTTTAAATGAAAAACTGATGAAGCTACTTTCTTTCTTCCTTCTCCCCTTTAACTGAAGTTATTTGGGTTTTTGTAAAACAAAACCTCACTTCCACGTGAGAACAAGAGAAACGCTTGAAACAGGAATGAAGGTTTCTGTAGGACAGGGTGGTGCTTTGCAGGAGGAACTCAAGAGTTGCTCTCCTGCTGCATCTCTAGAGACCTGATCCAAAGCCAACTGACAGCTGCAGAGTCTTATTGATCTCTGTAGGCTTGAGATCAGACCCCAGAAGGACACCTGAGCTTGGATGTGTCCAACATGTGTTGGACAGGCTCTTGGAGGGGGCAAGGGCAGGGCAGTATCAGTCAGGGGTTCAGGGCAGCAGTGCTGCAGAGGAGCAGGTACCTCTGTGTGCCCTCAGGAGCTTGGAAGGAAGCTGTCCTTTAGTTCCTAAGAAGAAGTCAAAGCTTGTAATTAGCCTGGCAATAAGCAGGTAGATTGCAACTATTAGAGGAAGAGCTTTGGTTGATTGAGGCTGATGGAGCTGGTCAGGTAAACACTTAACTCGTTACCTACTAGACTGAGCATGAATATGCTGGGGAGTGTTTCAGACAAGGCTGTTCCTGTGTGAGTCCTTTAAGAGGATGTGTGATGAGTTGACCTTGGCTGAACACCAGGTGCCCACCAAGCTGTGAATGCCAGATGCCCACCAAGCCGCTCTATCACCCCCCTTCTCAACAGGATGGGGAGGGGGGAAAATAAGATGGAAAATAAAATTGAGATAAAGGCAGTTTAATAGAAATAAAGCAAAGCTGTGCATGTGGAAGCAAAAGAACACCAAAATATTTATTCTCCACTTCATCAGCAGGTGATGTCCGGCCACTTCCCAGGAAGCAGAGCTTCAGTACGCATAGCGGCTGCTCCTGGAGTACAAATGTTGTAAATAACAAATGTCCCCCCTTTTCCCCCTCTGTTCTCCAATCTTTTATTTCTGAGCAGACATTATATGGTACGGAACATCCCTTCAGTCAGTTTGGGTCAGTAACCAAACCACTGGTGTGTTACCAACACCTTTCTAGCTACTGATACAAAACCCAGCACTCTGAGGGCTGCTGTGGGGAAAATTGACTCCATCTCAGCCAGGCCCAGTACAGGACGATAGCTCTGAGGAAGGTCTTCAGGTGCTTCAGGTCCTCCATGATTCCTGGTGAGCTTGTGGGAGAGAGGGAGAGCAGAATTCCTGCCAGAGCTGTGCTCACCCCTCTGTATTCCTGACAAGGGCAGCCTGCCAGGGAGATCTGTCAGCAGCAGCCATGTAATGACAAACTGCAGAAAGGGCAGCGAGCTAGAAAGAAAGGAGTTTAACTTGGTGGCTGGTAATGACAGCCCAGTGTAACTGGGGCAGGTGATAACTCAGGTGGGGTGAGAAAAGGGGGAAAAGATCCAAGTGTTTCTGCTGGAACAAGTTTAGGAAAAGCCTGGGGAATTGGAGAGAAACAAACAAAAAAAGAGGATATGTTTTTGTGCACTTATTGCAATTAATTCCTTGTGCTCTGGTGCCCAGATCTGATTTCACAGTGGTACATGATGGGAGCAGGGAAGTGCTGTGCAGGGCTGAGGTGAACACAGACACTTGTTTTTTGCTCCCCTCACTTTGGGTACCCGGCTGAGCTAAAGAACAGAACCAGGGGCACCATGGCTGGGGGGGTCTGTGAGGTAAGGTCCTGTGCCAGCCCATAATCAATTTGGCAAAGGGGTTAAGAGACTCTCTTAGTGATAAACTCTATAAGTAGAATATGGGCTGGTAGGTGCATGGTTGCTGAACTGCACTCTGGGGGCTGGCTGGCTGCTTTCCTGTACCAAACAATCACTTCTCCACTGCCTCTTTCATCCTTTGGGTTGTCTGCCCACCAATTCTCATCCTCTTTTTTTCCTCCTGTCTTTTGCATTATTTCCTAAAGTGTTCTTCCAGCAGTGCTTGCTCTCTCCTGGCCATGGAAACCCTGAGAATGGTTGTTCTGAGCCCTGCTCAGGGTAGTTGTAACTACTTCCTAACCATCTCCTTCCTAACCAATACTTATAACTACTCTGATTTTTTTTTTCTCCTCCAAAAGGAAAATGTTCTTTCCTGCTCTATAAATCCATTCTCCTTGGAAGAACTAAACTGGCCTGATTTCTATATTTCTATCCTGTCATCTTTTCTTAGAAGGAATAAGAGTGTGAAATATGGCACAGCAGAACTTCATCAGGTGGCCTGACACAAATGGATCAGCAGAAGCATCGAAGAAAGCACTTCCCTTGTTGCTGCAAGGGCTTCCCTAAGTGCATAGCCTATGCCAGCTTCCCTGTAAGGGCTTTGCCAACGAGCAGGCAAGAGATGCAGCAATCTGGATTTGAAGGGTTGCTTCTCGGTGCTGGCAATGAGATGGTGATGTGCCTCCGAGCGGCTCTTGGCAGCATTGCCTTGCTGACGTGCTCTGCTCGTGGTTCTGAGCACACTTGCAGCATCTGGGGGAAATTCAGCCTTTCCAAAAGTCTTGTCCCACTGCTCTGTGGTGGGGCTTGCAGCCGGATTTCCACATTGCAGTTCCTCCTCCTCTTGTCTGTTCCATCTCCCTCTTTTCTCTTCATCCATCTGGCCATTGGGTTAGGTGAATTATGGAAGCTAACTCTGAAGCTTCTAGGTTGTGCTTGAAATAACATGTCAAGCTTCTCTCTGTCTACTTGAATATGAAATGTGGTCCCTCCTGCAACCCCTGAGTTGGAGTTAATGATTAAAATCCTGCTGGTAAGACATATGAGCATCTGTCTGTCCAGCTGCCATGCTGATTGACTCTTCATCATGTACTTGAGAAATGTTCAGAGAGGTTCGAAGAATTGATGTTGTGTATTTCAATGTATTCCTGTCTTTTCCCTCTGGAATTACTCATCTTGGAATAGTGATTTTTTTTTTAATTTTATTTTTTTTACTCTTCTTTTATATTCTCTGTTGTGTATCCAGTGCTTTGATCTGAATCCAGAGCTGCTGTGGTGGTCTAAATCTCCTCTTGAAATGGAAGCAGCCCTTATTAGTCAGATGGGGGGTTATTTGTATTCCAGAGAATCTGGATGGTATCTTGGGATGTCTTTGTACATGGAAAAAATGCTGTAAGGAGGATGGATAAATCCATGTGTAATTACAACTGTCCTTCAACTCCACTTTAAATTTAGAAACTGGAAACTTGGGATTTGGGCTTTAAATGCTGTGGCATTGTCAACAAGCCTGCTGAGAGACAATGCAAGTGCTGCTCTGCTGTCTCGGGGTGATACAGCTATTCAGCACACATGACTAAAAGATAAACATTATATTTCCTATTTTGATAAGAAATGTTTCCAACTGAAAAGGCTTTAAATTATTCTGCTGTCAAGCTCTGGGGGCTCCCATGCAGGGTTCAGTTTGTTTCCAGAGCTGTTCCAGTGCTGCCTTCCCTGATAATTAAGGAAATTTAGGGGGGAGGTGGTTCAGAAGGCTGAAGCAAGAAATAAACCCGTCTCTGATAGTTTCCCTTAGAAAAGCATTTCAGAACAGCTTTCAGAAAACTATTTTAGAAAAGGAACACAGCTGGTTCTGTGGGTGTCAGAAGTAGGTGTGAGTTTCCCTGTGGGACACAGTGGAGTGAGACTGGGAGTGGAAAATAGACTCTGTAAAAAAAGTAGGTACTACAGTTTTAGTGCTGTTCTCTTCCTTCTCACGCTGATGGCAAATGGATGGCAACCAGGTGCTACAACAGTTGAGAGTGATATGTGATTTTTTTTTTTGGCTGGCCTTCAAAACACTCCTGAGAAGAAGCTCATATCACTCTTTGCTCATATTTCTCTTCAGGCTGAAGGTTAAAGAGGAAGCGATAGTCCTTCAAATAGCAGCCTGCCAAGAAACGAGGGGGAGTGCGGTTACACACGGATCATTCTCTCTCCTGACAGCAGGGCTTGCTCTCTTCTGGGATTCATTAACATCTTCCAACCTGCATACCACTTCTGGGAGTGTGTCAGGGTGTTTGAGCTTCAGATATGTTGCAGAAAGTTTTTGGGAAACAGCTGCTTCTTAAACTTTCTTGCAACTGGTTCTTCTCTCCTGATTTTAGTGTCCTGTTCCTATTCTGTAGTTTCACTTCTCTTCAGTCCTCTCCTAGCAAATGAAGCTGACAAACCACAGGAGACATCCTGGGATTTCTTGGTTTTTCTCCCAGTCTCCCAGCAAGCACTGAGCAACTGGAGGTCAATTAAATGTTTTTTCTTGAATGCTCTTTTTTTGTGCCCCATCAGTGCAGGTATCCCCCGAGGACATCCAGCCAGGGGCACGAGCATGTTGGGATCCTTTTGTTCATGCTGTCCTCATGTCCTGCAGTGCTCCAGATAGATGCTTGTCTATAAAGGTGTCTCTGTGAACATGAGAGCATCCACAATCCCAGTGTGGAATCAGTATTCACTTGATATTGGTGAGATGGATGGCTCATGTGTGTGAGTTCTTGGGAGATCCAAGGAAAGCAGCCTGTTTCTTACTTTGCAAGGAGTAGAGAAGGCACTGAAGGGGCTCTTGGCATTGGTGAGGCAGAAGGTTTGGGAAGGCACCATCTGTGAGGTGGCAGAGGGAAGCCCTGGGGACAGAGGTTAAGAGTAGGTCTTGTGGTGCCCTGTGGAACAGCTTTGTTTCTGTGCTCATTTGGGGAAGCCCCAGGCAAAGAAACAGGAACTGAATCCTTTTTTGAGAAAGATGATTCTTTCCTTCCCTAACCAAAGTGGTGAGTGGTTTGTGAGAGGGAGAAAAGCACGGCATCTTGGAGGACTGGCTGTCTTCAGGAGGAAAAGCTTTTGCTGGAGAAGATCCATGTGTCTCAGAACATGTAAACTTGGGAGAGAAAGAACAAGCTTTGCAGAAAAGATGTGATTTGGTGGATACGTGAGATATCTGTGGGCCACTGAAGAGCAAGGCCCAGCAGAGGGAGCAAGCCAAAGGCTCTTCTGCCAAAATTGTGAGAAGCTGGAAGAGAAAACTGTCTCTAGAAATGTAGCTAGCACAGCATCTTGCACTGTGTGCATTATTGTGTGACTGCCAATCTCATAATTATTCTCCATAGCCCTTAAAATGCAGACAGCTCCCTTTAAACTCCCAACTGTTAATAGAGTTCTCCCAGTTGTCTTTGCTAGTCAGGCTGCTTTTGCACCGGTGCCATACTTCATCTCCATGCCCTCCTCCATCTACTGTAAAACACATCCCATCTGTTGTGGTGATTATGGCAGGAGTTTGGCAGCTGTCTTCTCACTTAATTGTCCACATTTCTTAACATATGCTTCCTGCAGCATATTTTAATAACAGCTCTGCAAAGAGTTTGTGAGGATCCGTGGTGGAGTGGAGGGTACCTACATCATGTGCATAGTAGGACACTTGGTTTCTCCTCACAGGTTTTCTGGCTGGCATTCAGATTTTCTGCTCTGGTAACTCAAGTTTGCCCCTGGATACAAACACAGACACAGAAAAGTGTGTCTGCAGCACTACCTGGCTGGGCTCCCTGTACTGGCAGTGGAGACAATTCCTTTCTCCAGAGGGTAATTCAGAGCAGGAGTCTGGATTAGCTGCTGTGAATCTGGTTTTCCCTCTTGACTCTACAGGGAGCTGAGGTGAAGGAGTGACCATGTGAGGTTTTTAATGTTGGGAAGTGTGAGTGCCCCAAGGTCTGGCTTCTGCTGTTCTGGGAGCCACTCTTTTCCCACAGGGACTGTGTAGGACCCTGGCATGAGCAGTGTGAAGTAGTATATGGAGAGGTGTTAAAACTATGGTTAGGTGGGATGTGTGTATCCAGTACCTATTTCTACTCTGTAGAGACACATAGATTCTCTTCCTGATAACTTTATAATCTGTCCTTCAGAATAAAGCTCCCAACCCCTCACCTTGTTTTGTGGTTGTTGATTCCACATCAAAGTGACCTGAGAAGGCTGCTGGGGCAGCCAGCACTTAGCACTCCTCTGTGAAGTGACCAGCTGATCTGTTCAGCCAGTTCTGAGGTTCTTTCATTGTTTGCAAGGTGGGCTTTGCCATGTCCTGTAAGCTCAAATTCCCAAAGCTCTCCTGGGTACTCCAGAAGGTACCACTCTTCTCAAGTGTGAGGAAAGTGTGGTCATTTTTAAATTGAGCACCTGGCTGCATACCAAACTCCTCCACTGCTTGTGTGGCATTTCACTACGTGACCCCAATGATGGGATGGGTTAAATTGTTGAACTAGCAAATACAAGGAGAGCAAAACAAAAAAAACCTCTCTTGGGGTAGAGATGATAAGGAATTGCTGGGATGTGTTTGCAGGAAGCTGTGATCATCATGGTGAGGTCAGCTCAGCTGGGTAGTCTAACCTGAGACTAGCAGTATGTAAGGTCAAAAGGAGATGGAGAAGCACCATATGTGAAGAGCATGGAAGGAAATAGGACAGAAATGGTAGAGGAACTTGTTAGATGTGTTCAAAGCTAGGAACAGAGGAAGATCTGTTGGGTTTTGAAACTCACTTTGGGGTCATAAAGTTCATATTTTTCAGTTCTGTGTGTTGGTTCCTGTGCTGGGAAGAGCACACCCATAGCATGTGATTCTGTGACAGGATGCTTGGTGCTGCCCTATTTACCTTTTTCTTCTGGATTTACAAGATTAATCTCCTAAACCCAAAACCTGACTGTTCTTTTCTGGGAACCACTAGCAAAGTGTGCTTGGGTCTGCAGCCTAGAAGCTCTCTTTCTATTTTAGAAGCTGCTCAAACCTGCTTCAAAAATATGCTACATGATGGTGAAACAGGTTTGTTGGAGTGCTGCAGGACTGCCTCAGAAATGGTCCCCACCACAGAAGCCTGCCTGTGATATACTTTTTAATAAGGAATATAAAGCCAAGATATTTTGATCTGTGCTAGCACTTCTTGAGTGGGGATCTCAGTAACTTTAGGTTTTCCACTGACTTAGTATGACCTCCATCTGACAGTTTGTCCAACGCTCTTATAGTAAATGGAGATCTCTTTGCAACTTGTCTCTTTAGGACAGTGAACTCTTGACGTTCAACATCTCCCGGCACCAGTCATGGTGGAGTGAAAATGGTCCTGGCTGTGTAAGGAAAGAGGCTTCCATGTCTGGCATCAAAGGGCTGGACAGCCATTCCTACATCTCTGTGATAGGCTGTGCCCTGGAGTATCGCTACATCGAGGTGATGCACAGCTCCTTCCAGATCCTGATCGCAGTGAGTACCTCGCTGAGAGCACCACGGGGTAGCAATTATTGAGGAGTTGTTGTTTGATTTTTGTTTTGTTTTGTTTTTTTTCCAAGCACAGAGGCTGGCCCATGTTTTCCACCCCACTTTGTATCATCTGATTGCAAAAGCCTCTACAAAGGTTTTTGGTTTTGTTCTCCTCTTCTCTCTTCTGAACAATATTGCTTGAAAGAATTGGAATGGATACCAGCAACCTAACACACAAAGTAATGCATCACATGTGACCATACCTTAACAAATCATCCTGTATCTCTGTTGGGGTGTAGAAATTAATGTTTTCTCAAGGACAGAGACCCTTCTGAAGAAGGATTTCTCTTATTCCACATGACTCAGTGATGGGTGGCAGAGCACATTTGTTGTGAAGAAATAAAAGGGAGAAGATCCTTATCTCCAGAAAATGAAAGAAACTTTGAGGAAGCAGAAAGCAGCATCTTTTCTTTCTGCTGACACCTACAATATACACACCAAATGTTTTCATCAACTCTTTCCTCACTGAAGTCTTCCCCAGGCTTTTTTAAATTACTCTGCAGTAATTCAGTGTCCTTAATGTTCACTGTTAATTGTTTCTCGCTTGTCTGTGAAATTAACTGAAACAAAATGTCCATTGTCCCCCTTACTTCCTTGGCACTCCTGCATTTTGTAGCTGCATTAGATTTAACAGCCAGCATCTTTCTAATCTGCTTTGGTTTATTACTTTGTGGTTAATGGCTTAAAGCCCAAAGGGACGTGGACTAGTGAAACATTCACAGTTCAGCTTTCAGTTTTGGCTTAAAAAAGAAGGGTGACTTGCCCTGATTAAATGTTAAAGGATAACAAATAGAGAAATTCCAAGTTTCTGGAGTGCCAAGTACTTCTCTGCATGCTTTTGGTACAACTTTCCACTGTCTCAATCCTGCATTTCCTATTAGCTGGGATGATCTGTGGGACCCAGTGAACTGCAGGGAAGGGGAGGGGGAACTCAGACCCTTTTCTTGCCATGTCACAAAAAAGAAGCAGATGGAGAAGCTCCTGTTTCCTGAGTTGGATGGACTCCCTGGTGTGTGTGCTGGCTGTTAATATTTGGTTAGTTCTCCTTCAGGGAAAAATGATCTGCATTAAACTGTCTGCAAGTTGCTTCAATGCACGTGCAGCAGAAAGGCAAACCTATATACCCAGGAAAACAGAGCCTGTTCTATTTATAAAGAGCAGTTAGCTGGAACAGGATTGATGCTGCTGAGCTGGTGCTGTTCCTGAGTGTGGTGAAACAATTGACAGATTTTGAAGTCAGAACATCCCAGACTTCTCAATTGGAGCACTATGTCCCTATCAGCATTCTTCCTAAATGCCTGAGCTGGCACAAACCCCTGTGCCCCAGGCGAGAGGTTCAGCCAACAAATGATCCTGAGTATGTTGGGAACAGACCTTTGGTTTAAGGCAGCTCACTAACGTAGCCCTGAGCTAAGTCATCACACCAATATATAGGAGTCTGTGTCTCTGGGAGTGTTTTCTCCTTTGTTTCTTACCAAAAGCACATGATAATATTCTCTATGCATCTGCAAAACACAACAAAGGGCCAGATGGGGAAGCAGAGGAGGGAACTGTACGATAAAATAGGATTTAGGTAAATATTTTCTCTCTCCTTCTCCCTGAGATTTAAGTTGCTGTGGTTTTTTTTGAATCTGAAACCCTGGAAATGAGGCTAAAATACTGGTATGCAAGAAAGTTATATGGGCTGAGCTGTGCAGAGTGAACTAAATTTCTACTTGTCCTGTAGTAAAGGTAGAGTATTGAAACTCCAGGCTGGTAACTCCTGCTGGCTCTGAAATGCTCATCATTTTATCATGTAGTGGGAGAAATAGAGCTCTTCCTCTCTGCTTTGCAGAGGTAAGGCAGAAAGTGAGCCTTTTCACTTTCTCACTCAGATCCTGCCTGAAAACAATCAACCAGTTCTCTCCTTTTTTAGTCCCTGAGGGTCAAACTCTTTGATCTCTGCCACTATCTTTTTTTTTTTCCCTCCCCGATTCTCTTTATCTCATTTTAAGGCAGATTTTATTACAGACTGCTGTCCTTGCCAGAGTGCCTGGCAGGTACTGTGCTGCAGACAGGCAGGGAGACCAGATCAATAGTACAAAAAAAACCCAGCATGACCAGGAACTTGAAGGCTCAGGGGATGCAGCAAGGGACATGACCTAGTTCCCTCCTTGTCTGCAACACATTTGAGACCAGAATAGTCAGTTCCCTGTTAAGAAGGGCAAGAGAGAGGTGAAATTGTGCTTTCTATAGGTTTTTTTTTTTCTTTGCCTAATGGCTTTTAGAAGTTGTGGGGTGTGAGGGTGGTTGTGTGTTTGTTGGCTTTTTCTATTTTTTTTATTTATTCCAGATATGATAGTGTGAAATCCATGTTCTTTAACTATGCAGTATCCAGCTGTGGACATTTTGGTTGTTTTCTAAAAATACAGATTCCTTGAGACTACTGAGGAACTGTAGTGCACTGTATTGTGTACTTGGGGTAAAGCTCACTGAATGCAATCTTGCATGCCAAAGGAGAGGGAAAGCAAACCTCTACCCATATGGTGAGCAGAGTGTTGGCTGTCGTCTTGACTCCCGCTGACTAGATTATCCTGCTCCTGGGCATACATTTGAAGATCCATAAGGTCTCAGTCTGCTTTTGCTCAGTCTGTACTCCTTGAAGGCAAAAGCAACTCCTTTAATCTGGAATGCAATCAAACTTGGGTGTATCGGTCATCATGCATGATGCAAGTAGCTGTAGGGCCCAGTATGAAAATCAAAATGCATAGAACACATTGGAGGAAAAAACTTACTGTAACAACATCTTAAAGTCTGTACAGTTATAGAAATGTCACTGCAAAACTAATCCTACCAACCCAACTAGGAAATGCAACAGCAACTAGTTTAAGAATCATAGAATGGTTTGGGTTGGAAGGGACCTTAAAGATCATCCAGTTCCAACCCCGCTGCGATCAGCAGGGACACCTTCCACTAGACCAGGTTGCTCAAAGCCTCATCCAACCTGGCCTTCAACACTTCCAGGGAGGTGGCATCTCCAAATCCCTTGGGCAACCTGTTCCAGTGTCTGACCACCCTCCCAGTGAAGAACTTCTTCCTAATATCTCATCTAAACCTCCCCTCTTTCAGCTTAAAGCCATTTCCCCTTGTTCTGTCATTAACTGCCCTTATGACAAGTCCTTCCCCAGCTTTCTTGTAGCCCCTTCAGGTACTGGGAGGCTGCTATAAGATCTCCCCAGAGCTTTCTCTTCTCCAGGCTGAACAGCCCCAACTCTTTCAGCCTGTCTTCATAGGGCTGAAAAAGAAATCTGCTTTGTTTTTATTTTAGCAAGGATTCATCTTGCATCTCCCCAACTTCCCAGCCAGAAGGGAGAGGAGGGATTTCTAGTTTTGAAATACCTGGCATAGCTCTGGGCTGTCCATATGGTAGTTCTGGGAGTGGGGAGGGTTAGGCTTTTCCTGAGGCTCCACTGAATGGGACGGAAATTGGAAATGTCTTCCCAACTGAGAGAACTCATTGCCTGCCTGTCTGCTGTTTTCACTCAGACTGACAGGTTGGAAGGTTCCCAGGAAGGCGGCAATGCAAGCCCTGACAGCAGATGTTATGTGAGGAGCAATGCACAAGAAATGCTTTGCTGCTGGCAGAAGCTAGGCTTTCAGGGGTTGTAACTGCATCCAAAGAATAAAGAAGGTCAAGGAACTGAAGGAGTTTTGCCTCTTTTTGGCTATCTGGTCACAATAGCCCTTTCATAAGGTGGCTTTTTGCTTCCTTGTAGCAGAGATCTTAGTTTCCCCCATCTTGCACTGATGAGAGCATACACACTTCATTAGCTCTGATTAGAAGTGAAACCTAGAAAACATCTGCCCTGAAGGAGGAGAGTCTGCACGTAGTCTTTGTGGTGGAAAAACCAATGGCAACTCTTTCTCTTGAGAGAAGAGTTAGAGCTCAATCTTCACTAAGACAGATGTAGACTAAAGCTAAGATTGTACACAAGCAATGGGAACACCTCCTAAAATTGGTCTTCCATCTTTCATGTAGTTTGCACACTCACAACCAGCTGGTCCCTTTCTGTAGGTCTTGCTGTAACTCACACTTTAGTTCAATGCTGCTCTTTTATAAACACTTTTCAACTTGTTATTAAAAAGTAAACTTCAACTGACTGAGGAGCAGAGGGATACACAGACTTACGTTCTTCTTGTTCCCTTTGGGCACACTTGTCTCTTCCTGTCTTTCCTGCTTTGTTCATTTGCCTGCAGAATGCTTGGGACATCCCAGCTCCATCCTTTTTTTTGTTTGGCAGCATGTGCATTCCCAGGCTGTCTGACAGGCTGACTGAACACACCTGCCTACAACATGTGTTCCTAATAAAAAGCTTAATTGGATACTTGTGCAGCCTGGAGGAAGCTGGTACTGAACATGCAGAACAAGTGGAGAAACAGCAGCAGAGGCTAAAGCCCAAGAACATTCTTTGGGGAATTAGAGCAAAAGCTTAGTGTCATTTTACATGACTGACATTTTTCCTATTCTTCCACCTTCCCTACGTAATTTGCAAAGATCTAAGAATTATTGCTATTTTCCTGGGACAGTAGAGCTTCAAACTCTCTTTCATACTGAAATCTGCAACCAAAACGGCACTTTGAGCAAGAGTGAAATTAATTACTTCCAAATTCTTGGCCTCTGTGAAGTTGTTTTCTATATTAATTGCTGCTAAACTTGGTCATGTTTGGGGGCTTGATACATCATCTTCAAGGATGGAGTCAGAGAGGAACCACTGGTGTCTCTTGGAGTCTGCTCATCCCACATTCTAGCAGGCTTTTCCAGTGAAAAGGACTGAATAGGAGTGGCACTTCTCCTCTGTAGATATATTTAATTTATAATTCATGCAGAAGGTGAGACATGGGGAATCCCAGGAGTTCATTTTATCCCTGAGGTGATATATTTAATTATAGTTTAGGTTAGCCCATATTAAAATGCAATTCATGTTTATGTTGTATGTCTTTTCCTTCTTTGCCAATGAAACTCTCCTCTTTATGTAACTTCTTTGTATAAAATGTGCCATTAAGTAAATAATTTTTTTATTGGTGAAACTCATGTAAAAAAGGAATGGATTATAAAGTCAATGAAATATAAATTTTAAACACTAAGCATGTAATTTTGAAACAAAGCCAGGAAATAGAAGAAATAAAAAAGAAAACCCTCCACTCCAATGGAGCTGGAATTAGAGATTTAGGGAAGTTCACTTAATTTGTTAGCTTTTGGGTTGGTTGTTTGCTTTTCTGAATGCAAAAGGTCACCTTAGTCATAAAAGGAAATAAAAAATACAAGGTGAGAGGGATGATGGTTGAGAGTTATGAGGCATTCATTTCCATACAAAACAAAGTTCCCAGGTCAATCTTACTGCTTGCTTGGTGCTTCTGAACTGTGGATGATTTTCAGAAGTTTAACAGGTTCCCCATGACAGTGTAGCTGATAATCTTTCAGGCACTCTGCATGTAACCTGGGCAGACATGTCATTTTCATTGTTAATACTATTGGGAGTTGCTTGACACAAATATCACATGGTTTGTGTGTACCTGTTATAGAGTATAATAATAGTGGATGGATTCAGGATTGCCACTTTGCATGGCTCTGAACTCAAAGTTCCTCCTTTGAGGCGTGATGGAAAATCTGAGGAAAGATAATTCCTGGAGTTCCCTTGGAATCAGGACACATACTCAAGAAACCTATTTCCAGCTTGGCTATTTTTGTGTATGTAAATTGCATTATTTTATCTTTTACTGTAAAATGTAAAAGGCTGGATCTTCAAACTATAACAAGGCCAGAGCAAGTACAAAGAGTGTATGACCACACTCCCAATTTGATTCTAAGGTGAGAGCAAACACACTCAGGTCAGTGAGCAGAACGTGCAGAAGGGCCGTTGGACATCTCATTGAACACTGTGATGGCTTGAAGCTGAAACATCCTTTTCTTCCAAGAGCATCTATAGGTGTTGATGTCATTAGGTACCCCAGCCCAGCTGATGAGTGCTAATTGCTGACTGTGCAGCTGAGCCTGCTCATGATGTAAGGACCCGGGGAGCAGCCCTAGGGCTGTGTCAGCACCACGGCCAGTTCCTGGGCCAGGCACCCACCCTCCTTCCAATCCCCAAAACTTCCCCAAACTTCCGAAAGAAAAAATTAATTCCCTGGGTTTTTTTGTTAGCACAGTACAAGCAATAGAAGAGAATAAAAATTTGATATTATTCTGATTTTTTGAGGAGTTTTGTTTAGTTGGTTTTTGACTTTTTTTTTTTTTTTGGCTGCCTTTAAAACACTATGGTTCTACTCGGAGGTAATTCTGAAAGTCAGCAGGTAAAATGAGATTGGCCATTGTACAAGGATTTGCAGTCACCATCATGCCCAGAAGGATGGAGATATATATATATATAAATAAAATTTTTTTTAAACCTGCATGAAGTACTTTGTAACTCATAGAAACTTAGTATGAAGCAGCCCTGGTTTCAAAAACACACATCATGGGAATGAGTGAGTCCATAGAAGTACCTCTCCTCCACAGAGGTACCAGACCATGCTTCCATAAAGCTCACTCAAGAGGAAAGGAGAGAGCTGGTTTGTCTTTCAGACAATTATAGAAAATTGTAAAAGAAATATAAGGTTTAGTGATGCTACAAAAACATTCCATTTCCTTCCAACAAGGTGTGTTTTGTCAGGGAGAGCTGGAGAAATCACAAACGCCTTATAACTCCTCAGTAGAAATCTCATTATCTTGCCTTTTGTTTTCTGGTGTGATGTATTTTTCTGTCATATTAAAAATGAATGGACTCTACTTTTCAAGCCCTACCATGCATCATTCTGTCTTCCTTTAGAGTGAGTCACTGTACGTTACATTCTAACTCTTGTTCAAAAGAATTGAGTTCACAGTGGAAACCAATTATGTCTCACAATAACTTTACTAATACAGTTACTGTCAACCAAGATCTCGCTAAGTGGGGTGTTATGTGAAGATGTAAAATGAAGGATGGGGAGGATATTTGATTAACAGGAAGAAGGCAAAGCAAAATAAAACTCTACTGGATCTAGAAAGCTTAACTCCCGTAGTACCAGAAGTTTGTTTCTCTACTTAGGCTGAGTAACAACTTGCTACTGAAACTGAATGAGGCAGATCTGATGCTTTAGAGCTTCTACAAACTACCAAGTAAGGACAGACCCACCAACCTACTTTAAATTGCTTTTTGAATGCTCACTCTAGTTGTCTACTCTAAAGACTGCTCTGAGCAATGGGTTGACTTGAGGGCCACACCATGCCAGGATGGCTGCTATTTGAGACAGCCCATTGTTTTACTGCTCCTTCCCTGCTTCTCTCTGGTTCCCAGGAGGTGGAAATTTACTGCTAACCTATGCCATTTGTGAATGAAGACCGTTGTTATCATCTTGTCTGTTTCTCACTATGCTCTGGCCCATTTACTCTGCAGGTCCAATGCTTGATTAGTCCATGTAGGAGTGTTTATTCTCCAAAGATAGAAAGAACTTTAGAAATTGTAGAGCTAGAGTAAGACTGGGATTTCTTTACAAGGAATTTTTGATCTTCAAGCCTAACTCACTAAAGACTTCATTATCTCTGAATGTTGCTGCCAGGACATCACTGTATTTATGGTTAACTGAGTTCTTATCTCACCTGCATAAAAACTACTCACACCTTGCTATGCTAAGTGGGTTTTGACCAGTCTTGTAAGATTGATGCTAAAATGATTTATTCTCTCTATTTTCCAGCTGGTGGGCTTTGTCTACGCCTGTTATGTTGTCAGTGTTTTTACAGAAGAAGAAGACAGCTGTAAGTATTTATCAACAGATCCCTTGGCAAAGGTTTTACTAAATTTTCTTTTTTTCTCAGATGTTTGTCTAGCAGGACTGAGTTGCCATCAGACTTCTTTCCATCTCTCCATCTATGTGATATGGCACTACCTACCTTTCAAGGATCAGCTATTTTTAGTGTGAGGTTGTTTGGGGGGTTTTTTTGCCATGTCACCATGTGTTAGATGCTGTAATTCTGTTACACTTTCAGCCCAACAAAGCTTGGTGTTGGTTACTTACTCAGGCTGGGCTTTAGAGCAACTAGGCAGCTTCTTCTGTTCTCAAGCTTATATAGTTTAATGCCACTGAAATATTACCATTGTAATTAGGAGTACCTACAACAAAAAAATACAGCCTGGTACTCAAGTAGACCACCTGCTGAGTATCATATGCCACAAGCTGATGATGAAGCAGAGCATGAGATTTCTTGCCAAGAAACAACCTGACCACTTAATTGAAAAGCAGAGGAAGTAGTGTGTCTGAATTACAAGGAGGAAGAAGGAGCTGACTCCCTTGGGTTTGGTACACAAATATCTTAAGTGTCATAACGTGTCAGAGAAGAGCAAAGACTCAGAGGAATCACGTGGGTGGTTGGGTCTGTGGGATCTATCTAGATATCTATAACCTGGTCCTGCATTACTTTGCCTTTCTAAAACTGCCTTTGAGAGCAATAATTTTGCAAACAAAAGAATAGACGTGAAACGTTCAGGTAAATGTGAAGTCTGATTTGTTTGGCAACATGTTGCCTTTCTGTGTTTGAATTCTCTGCCTGTGTTTGAATTCTCTGCCCTTACTGAAATCAATGGGTCTAGGCCAGTTGACTCCAGGTAAGGATCCAATCCAGAGGCATTATATCCAAATATCACTTCTTTAATACATTCATTAGGTTTCTACAAGTAGCTTTGTTGTTTTAAAGTGCAGCTGGCATGGATTTCAGGGGAGAAACAACAGCTTGGAGCTGAATATTTGAAAGTATGGGAAGAACATTGATTTCATAGGAGTGAGACGAGATGCATTGTTCAGCTGACTTGTCCTTATGTTTTTCTGTTGCTTCTTGTGCAGCTGAACTCCTTCTACTGACTTTATTGATCACTTGTTTAGAGCTTGGCAGTGCACTTAACGGGAGTGCTACATTATAAGTGATATTTTAAAAATTATACCTTTTTTGTTAGCTAAATAGCTTGAGTCCTGAGCCCCTTTTGAGTATTGTCAAGTAATAACTTGTCAGAGCTCAGACTTATAGCAGGATCTGTTGGGAGAGGCAACCACATGGAAGGAAACATTATCTAGAAACACAGAGCTGTTAATTTCAGGATACTTCCTCCTCCCCCCAACAAATCCGTTCTCCCTCCCAGTTTCCCAGCTTGGAGTTAAAATGCCAGCTTGAATAATTAACAATGACAAACCATCAATATTTCACACTCACAGTGGTAGATCCTTCCAGTGACCCGAACAAATTTGAGCTGCGTTTTAATTTTCTCTTCCATTTGTGGTTTCCTTTAAATGTTGCTTTGATATGCAGCATGAAGTAATTATAAGTGCTGAGGCACATTAATCAGGAAGCTCATGCTAACGTGATTTTCATGAGAAAACACAGCAGTAGGGATCTACTAACACTGAATAGTGGGCAAGAATATTTTAGATGTGCTAATGCACTGTAATATATTGCAACAATCAACCACAGTTAAGTTGTTTTTTGGGGTTTTTTTTAAGTGACTTGGATTTTCAGTGTTTCCATGGTTGGGAGCTCAGATAATAGGACTTTTTTTCTTTCAAGGTACTAGACAGTTATGAAAAATTGCAATTCTTTAAGGTCTCCCAATTTAGAGATTCCACAACTGAGGTAATATACTTAATATCTGGGGTTTTTTTAAACTGCAAACTGTCTTGATTTTAAAATACTCAAATATTTTCAAAAGTGGCTGAGAAAAGGTCAAGTCTCACTGGAACTACTGGGAATTATTCCCCCAATTAACTTAGAACCTCTACAGATTTTGCTCATTAACTGCCAGTTGTTCCAAAATCACAGTATCAGCATGAAGCTATCCATCAAGACAGAATTTGTGAGAATACATTGTCCTTTAGTTTCTAAACATATTTTAAGATGAGGAGTTTGGTTTTGTTTTTACTTCTAATATATTTAGTAAATATTTTTTCTATTGTTTGTTCACTGAAAAAAAAATACCAGAACTCTGTAGCTAAAGTTTAAAATAATAGTGCCACCTTGAGGAAAAAAAAATAAACAGGCTTTTATAGAGTTCATAAGGCTTTCCAGTTATTTTTATATGGTGTTTGGAAGTGTGAAAGCTAACTTGGCACCAAAAATTGGTCCAGGCTGGATCTATTTTAAAGGGTTTTTTTTGCAGAGCCTGCTAGGTTACACCACATCATACCCCTGCTGACCTGGCTACGTTGGCCAGCTCAGTAATATAGTCTTGGCCTAATTTCAGGGGAACTAAGAGAGACTTGGAAAATTCTTCTCTGGTTACCAAGGAAATTGTCACTTAAAATTGTCCTTGTTTAGTTACATTGCCCTTCTGTGAATACTGCAGAAGCGAAGCATTGTTCCTATTTGTATACAATTCAAAGAAATTGAGTTGGCAGTGGGAACATGGAAAATCTCAGAGCTGAAGATAATGAGGTATTTGCAGTTTTCCAAGGCTGCTGTTGTCTGTCTTGCAGGAAAGACAAGTAAGACAAGAAAATTCCCCCTTGACCATCTAACCTTCCTGGGGATTGCTATGCTGCCAACATCTCTGCTGGCATTCCCTCACGAGCTGTTCCTCAGCTTCCTTCTTTCAGCACATCACTGAAGGGCTGAGGCTTTGTCAGCTCCCTTCTCACGTGAAGTCACAGCATGGTGGCAGTAGCCAAGGAGGCGGAGGGAGGTCCTCTGGTTTTTCTGGAGTCTTTTGTTAGCTATCTCTGCTTCAAGTCTTATGTGAGCTGAATCTCCTCTTTGGCACACTTGTCCGTCCCAGGAGACCCTGGAAGAGAGTCCTGTACAAGCAGAGATTTCCACCAGGCAATCCATACCTGAAAAGTCATTTTTCTGTTCTCTCACTGCTTTTTCTGTTAAGCCATGACATGTACCAACTCCCTCTTTCATTTCCCTTCAACTTTCTGGCCATGTTTGTTTATTTATTTGAGTTTTGATTTTTTTTCAGTTGATTTCATTGGTGGATTTGATCCATTTCCTCTCTACCATGTCAATGAAAAACCCACCAACCTTTTGTTCAAGCAGACATACCTGTAAGTATCATCTCCTGTACTAAGAGGCTATGAATGCCTCTTAGTTTGATGGCTCAAGGGTGCCATAGGTTTGGGTTTTTTCCTCCTTGCAGGTTGATTTCTCCAGCAGGCTTTTCAGGTATGGAAGGAATGAACAAGCAAACAGCAGTAGGGGTGAAACTACCTCTACATAGCCCCATGTTGAAGTTGCTGTTGCCATGCTTGGCTTATGGCAGTGGGATTTGAAAGGAAGCAGTGGGGCTAGCTGTAGGATGTTATAAACAAACTACTGGATGCTTTTTGCTTGAAGAAAGCAAAGAGAGGCTTTTTAGCAGCAAATGGTGCCCAAGCAGGTAAAGGTAAGAGCCATGAGGAAGGAAGAATGAGCCTCAATGGATGCTGAGAGTAAGCCACAGTAATAGGAGAATATGCAATAGTAGAATGAGTCTCAATCTCAAGGTTAAACTGTGGGCTGTCAGGCAGAACCACAATGATACATCTCTACTGGGGTAAAAATTATGCAACATCTAGTTATTTAAGCTGTATTTTAGCTCTGTGGACAGTCTTAACTGAACTCTGACCTATACATCCATGCCCTTTTGATCACTGGCCCTGTCTTTGTCATCCTCCAGTAACCTCATGGTAGCATCACAAAATTTGCCTCTGTGTTGGGTACAGGGTCTCTCTGGATCTGCTTGTACTTCTAGGGAACCTGCAGGTTACAAAGCTAACATGCCAGTGAATTAAATTAAACCAATTATTAGATGATTTGTATACAGGGTGGCACAGGCTTGCTCTTAAAAGGTTTGGGTTTTTTGGTGGTTTTTGTTTGGTTTGGGTTTGTTTTTGTTAATTGTTGCCTACAAGAACAGAGACTTATATGAGTGGAGCATCCCAAGAGTTCAGCTGAGACCAGGCAGCAGAAAGGGGAGCTGTCCACAGCAGCTTCTTTTATAAAACTAATAGAGATCTATTGTTGAATTCCAGCTTCTGCCCTCTGCTAATCCCTCCTCACTGCTGAAGGCACAAGATCACTTTCACACAGTCCAGTTAAAAGCTGCTTCTTAATTAGATTCCCCAACATAAAGGCCAGTATTATCTGTTTAAAGCAGCAGTAAGATCAGAATTTTTGATACTCTCTAAATCCAGCTGCAAGGCAGCAGTTCAACAAGCAGACATATTTTTTAAAGTAGCTGCTAAGGGAGGTTGGTTTTTTTTAGGAATGATGTTACTAGAGAGTCCTGCCAAAAAGAAGGATGTGAGGATGGGAGAGAAGTGGAGATGAGGGAAGAAAAACTGTCCCCAAATAGATTTGGAGATGTGCCCCCCTCATGTAGTATGAACTTACAGCACAAGACCCAGAGAACAATTAGTTTTTGCAAAGCAGTTAAATTCCCTGTAACTTTAGGGGTTCTATCACATTATTAGAAGGGATGCTACAGGAAATTAAATATTGATTTCCCTCTCACTTTATCACAGTGGGATGGAATTTTCCATAGTCTGCAGAAGCCATGGAGCTTTAAGCAGCTGCCTGATTTACTAGCTTCATGGAGCAGTGAAGAAACATCATACTTTTACAGGATGGGGTTTGAGCTGCATTTTTCTTAAAATTACAAATTCTGTTTGTGAAAGCTAATAATTTACATGAAGCTTTCTATATGGGGAGATTGTAATATGAAGAGAAGCTAGCACTGTGAAACTTCCTTACAAGGGTCCCAATAAGATGGTAAGCTACTCGTGAAGTACATAGATAATGTTGTTGTTCTTCAATCCTGTTCTTCAGCCCATCACTTATTTATTGAGAGCTTCTGCCAGCATAATATAATATTTCTTTCTGGCTAACAGGAGGTGAAAACAGCTGCTGAGCAGTAGATAAGGTGATCCTCTATAAATTTCACAGCAGCCACTAAAGAGCAATTTTTGTTTATTTATTTAAGCCTAGCTCTTCCCTTTCTTCCACATGTAAGAATGGGAAGAAGAGGAGTAATGGATATTTGATTTTTAACTAATGCTGCCATGGAGTTTCACAGTCTCCAAGTGCCAGATATCCTTGTCCTGCTGTGAAAATCATTTCATGATGATGAAGGCATTTTCTTTTTTTGTATCCCATTCAAGAAGATGCAAAACAAATACATCCAACTTCTTTCAAGTTTAAATTTATAGAAGAGCTAGGGGTCAAGAACATGAACTTTCTTGTTTCAACTCCTTTTTGTTGAAGGAAATACTGAATGAAACTAAATCTATTCTACAACTACTTGCCTTGGAGCTAACTGCAACCATGAACTTTCAGGTTAGGGTGGCATCACCCCATTGTCACGAGTCAGCTGCTCTCATGATAGTGTGGCAACAGAAGTGCACTAACAGGATCACTTCCCTCATTCCCTACTAGGATTATCCAATTCACTCCAGTTTTATCCAAGCCTTTTCTGATGAGATCACACTCTTCCCTCTCCTCCCCCTGTGCCCTTTCCCTTGTCCTGGCATTTTTTCCCCTTGTCTCTGTTCTTCACCTCTCCAAATTTATGAATGTCATAGATCTGAAGGCCCCACAGAAGATGACATTGACCTAGACCAGTGAGCACAGCTTAAATCCAAGACCCATCGCTGTAACCTGTGTATCAAACACACAGGCTATGAATTGGATAACTTTTAATATGCTGTCAGAGTTCAAACATATTAAAGGGAGACAGCTGTGTCCCTTGGCAGCCTCCTTCAGTTGTTATCAGCTGCTAAATTCAGTATTCAAAATGTACATCCCATTTCTGGCCTTCTGGATGCACTTATGGAAGAAACAAGTTCTTACATATCCTTGCCTCCTAAGAAGTAAAAACATCTCAAACTATTACTGATAACTGAATTGTGGTCTGGAAGTACCTGTTATCTCCCAGTTTTATCATGGTAACCTACTGACCTCCTGCAGTTCTTGGAAAACCTCACAGGTTATCAACAGCCAGGTGCTATTTTTCTTTAAAAAAAAAAAGCCAACAACAAAAAGGGGAAATCAGCCAACGGTTTTGTTTACAAAGACATGATTTAAGTGCACTTCATCTCAATTAGCACCTCCAACACTCCCACAGCAACAATTAAATTCTATGAATACAGTTATTTCTATTTTAAGTTCCACAACTGCTCCTGTTCTACATTTCATTGATTCCAGGGGAGTTGGGTTGTGATAATTCTATTTCAAGTCACAAGCTTAAGTAAAAGAAACTCAAATTATCATGAAAAAGTTGTTCTGGAAGTTTTACTGTGTAATTGAATTACCCTTAATCTCACTGCTGCTTACCAATCAAGGCACTGCACTAAGTATTTAAATAATAATATAATATTTAAGGAATCTTGGTAGAAAATACATTAAGTCTTCAGTGCAAGATTTCTGGGTCAAAGTACTTAGCCAAAGGAGAATAAATCACTTCCTGAAAAAAACAGTTATTTTCCTGAGGCCAAAAGGGAACATTTCCAATGAGTTTTCATGAAGGAAAGGCTGAGGCTCTTACCCCTCCTTAGCTAAAGCTCAAATTCAGGCCACTCTTGCTTGTACCACTGTCTCCTCTTCAACTGCACAGGACAGACCATCAGCTCCAGGTTCCTTTTCTTCTTGTTCACTTGTAGTGCCAGAA